CAGTAAAATAGAATTAATCTCAGTTCCTGAGCTCTTCTGGTGCTCCCTTAAGACTGCAGTTGAGGCCAGAGCCCCTCCCCCCCAGACCTGCAGAGAGCAGTTCTCCAGCCTGTCAGTGCCCCACGGCAGACGCAGGCTCCAGGAAAACTTCTGACTAAGCAGAATCACACCAAAGTATTAAAACCACGAGACAGTATCCGGGCTCAGACTGAATGTTTTTTCCCAGAGATATCTTAGAAACAGCCAGCGCTTTGGCGTGACACACTGAGCCCTTATCACTTCTGCTGCGCGTTTCACACTTCCCACACACACCCACTTCGTGGACGGAGCGCTGCAACGGAAAAATTCTCTTACAACTCCTGCGTGAGTATACACACACGGGACGCTCTGACCAGCAGACCGCACCGTGATCACACACTGGCCAGGGAGAGGCCAGCACAGGGTGCCAAGACCGCCAGCCGCAGCCACTGTCACCAAGTCAGCTCACTGATTAGGGAGAGGTGGTGTCCAGGCTCCGAGAACATGCACTCATGTAAGAGCGAATCAACCAACAGGCTGCTGTCCCCGGCTCTGCAGGATGACCGTCCTCCTGAAACTAGCCAGCCGGCTCTGAGCCCGCCAGTGCGGAGCACGGCACCGGGCGAGGGGAAGCACCACCTCATTGGCACGAGTGTGAGAAGCCGACTTCTCTGCACAGTTTACCTCCTTTTCCAAGGCACCGGTGCAGGGAAATATATTTAAATATAATGACCAAAAACCTTTTCCTCTTAAATATTTTATGGCACGAAGTTTAGTAGAAAAACAAAGACTACGAAATTGAAAGTTAGCATTTTTACAAACAATCCAGAATCACGAAGCGCAATTAACAATCAGCTGCCATTCGGGTTCACGAACAGCCCCCTCCACCGGGCACCCACCTCGGTGCCCAGGCCCACCTGGCCCTCGGGCGGGAGGTTCTGCCCTGGCAAGACCCGCCTCCCGCAGCAGGGGCGGCGCCCACATTCCTGCGCCCCTCTGCCCTCTGTGAGCTTCTCCCCACAGCCTCCACTGTCTGGCGATCACTACATCCCCAAGTCTCGGCTCCCACACCTTGACAGCAGCCACTTAACCAAACACACAACTTTCCCGGGAACGCAGGGCAGGGAGACAGCAGGCCTGCCCCGGGGCCCACGCGGGCCGCTCAGCAGGCTCTGTCTCCTGGAGCGATTTTCTGTGGATCTCAGATCCAAGTGGCCCCCTAAACCCTGGCCCACAGCACAAAGACACCATCATGGCCCCTGGCCTCGCTGCTGCCCTCACGCCTGGTGGTGACCTCGCTGAAGACAAACGCATCCCGCTCCGGTTTGAGCCCCAGCACCCAGGGGACACACAGCAAACCTCCCTGGACACACCCCAGTCAGAGCACCGGGTGTCACTCACTCCCGTAGTCACCGTGGACGCCTCGGACCTCTAAGTACAGTCTCCCCTCCATGGGAAGGGCAAGGAGACAGCACTGGCCCGGCTTGCATGGCGCCAGCTGCAACCGAGTCCACTGCACCAGCGCAGGCGCCAGCGACCAGGCCTGGGAATCAGCGTCTTCACCGTGGTGCTATCTGCCACCTGCCTGGCCGAGTTTCCTGTAGAGACCCCAGGGCCCAGGTGCCTGCTCTCGGAAATGGCCCCTCCGGCGGGCGCCTGTCATGAGGCAGTGAACACGGCCTGCAAATCTAAGCACCAAAAGCGCTAGGGTGGATTTACTGGCTCTTAGAAACTATGCCTGTCTCTTGAAGTTCCTACCCTTGACTCGGAAGGCCCCCTCTGAGCCGCCCTCACACGGAGTCGGTGGACTTACAAGGAAAAGGAGAGGGGAAAGCAGGAGAAAGACCCACTCGGGACAAAAGAGTCATCTATTCTGAGGGCTGCCCGCTGCCCAGAAGGGGACGGAGGAGAGGCAGTCAGTCATTTGACAAAAATACCGAGTAATGGAAAAAAGACTGCTTGCTTGAGAGAGGAAACACTCCGGGGGTTCTGAGACAGCTGTAACAGCCCCAGCCAGCTCGAGGAAACGCTGGTGTCCATCGTTCACACACGCAGCTCGGACGCTGGGTGACCAGGGGCAGCGGAAGGTGCGAGCGGATCCTGTGTGGGCGGCGGGGGTGGGGGAGGCCTTCCTGAGAAATAGTTTAAGCTAATCTGAGGGGTCACAAGAAGTGAGCTATTTCTGAAATTCTCAGATTTTAAGATTGTAAATAAGTAACTATAAGAAGAAAATCCAGGGCCTTCCTGGCGGCACAGGGATTAGTCTCAGCGCTATCAATCTATCGCCGGCCTGAGATCGATCCCCTTCTAGGGTGGTGACCCACAGGGCGCAGCAGACCTCTCCTGACTCGCCCACTGCTCCCCTCAGCAGTGTATTTCAGTCAGTCGGCCTGTTCTGTTCCCCACTCTGGCTCTGGTGAGTCCTCTTACCCCCGCACCTCTGGCCTGTACCCCATCTCTTGTATGCATAACTAAAAGATACAAATCTTTATAAAAAAGAATTTCAGTTCCTGCATGTGTCTGTGAGACGCCACTGTGTGCACGCGGCACTTCCACAAGGCTGAGAACTGGTCATTTTTGACTGATTATATCTCTTGACAAACCCTGATACTCCCTCCCTTCAATTCATGACAGAGCAGCTTCCACAAGATCGTGCTGCTGGACTCGCTGCTTGTGTGGCACAGTGTGGGAACAGCGCCCCAATCACTGCCGTGACTCAGTAATCGCCTCCCCTGGACGTCACCGCAAAGGGTCAACAGGGTAATGGTTTGCCCTTGGGTTTTAGGGAACCCAAGGGCCATGCAGTCTGCTGAGGTGCCGCCTCAGAGGCCCGATGCGGTAGCCTCCTGGGGAGAGCCCTGGGCACACAAGGCGTCGTCGTGAGAAGAGCCAGCCCAAAATGGCAACGTGGACTCCTCCTCGCTTGCAGGTGTCCTTCCCGACGCGCACCGCTCTCTCGGCTGGGTGAAGCTGCGCATCCGCCCTGGCCAAGGGAAACGGCTGGAGAACCTCGGTCTCCTTCTCACTGTTCCCGATGGCCCCGTCTCCCCACGTCTACCAGACTGCCCCTGGCCTTCCTTCCCGTCAGCGTCGCTCACCGTTCCCCAATCTGCAGCAGCCCTACTACTTCTGGGGAGCCCCAAAGTCATTCAGATGTTGACCAGCTGGTGGCTGCAGCCTGTGCTCTAGGCTAGGCCCTGCTTCCACCTATGACATCAGCCTTGGCACGTGACTGAGAACGAAACCAAGGGGGAGACAGGAGCAGGAGCACCTGTGCTTGTGGCAGGGGAGATGGCCACACACATCCCGCGCCTGAACATGCCCTGCTCACAAACCTGTCGCCTTTCTCATCCAAGTGGAAGGCCAGCGCGGGGGTGGCCCCCCAACGCCCTCCCCCATTCCCTCTGCACGAACGCTGTCACCAGTTCACTTCGAGTTAGAGATGGAGCCTGGACTCCTGCACACACAGCGGACACTTCAGAAGTGCTGCAACCAGGTCCAGCTTCACCTTGTGCCCTCAACATGATCCCCCAATGCACGTGGTCGAGGGCCCATTGGGCCCAACACCGTCGCCGCCCCCGACAGTCCAGCAATCACACCTTTCGATTTTACTTGTCCGTTGAGTAAACTAGATTAAGAATATGGTTATCACTTGGGAGTAATGAAAACATCTGGGTGTACAACGAGGAATTTCCTGGGAAGTACTGAATTGTGCACTATTACAGGGCAGAGCGTATGGCAAGCACGCTATCTCAAAAAAAAAAAAAAACAAAACTGCAATTAAAAAATAAATTTAGGGGCCTCCCCGGTGGCGCAGCGGTTGAGCGCTGGGCTGCAAAGCTGCCCGCAGCCTCTGCAGCGCCGGTTCGATCCCCGGCCGCTGGAGAGGGTCCCACATGGCACCAGACCTCTCCTGCCACGCCAGCTGCTCCCCTCAGCAGTGTATTTCATCAGTCTGCCTATTCTGTTCCCTGCTCTGGCTCTGGTGAATTCTCTCACCCTCCCGCACTTCTGACTGTACCCAGTGCTTGTATAAATAATCTTTAAAAAAAATAAAATAAAATAATAAATTTAAAAAAGACTGGTTATCAAAAGCTCCCATTAACTTTTAATGCTTCCTAACTCTAGCACGTGACAACTGTCATGTCTAGTTTGGAGTACGAAAATACAACGGATTCCAGCGACTGCTGCATCATAACCACAAAGCGCAGGTTGTGGAGGCGCTGCGCAGGGGCACCGCGCGCGGCATGGGGGGGCACCTGGGACTTCACACCCTGTGGTCTCGCTGCCAGAGCTGATGGAGCGTCCTCCCAGCACGGCGCCGCCTGAGGGCCGGGAGAGGGTGCCCTCCTGCAGGCCTCCTGGAGGTCAGAGCACGGCCTCTGCCCACTGTCGTGTAAGCAGCGCACAGAGCCCAGGCCTGTGAGGAAGAACAGGCCTTACTTGGCACCCCTACAGGCCATGAGGCGATACAGTCCTTACAGCAAAGAAGTTCTACCACAAAATTCCCATCTTCTTGGAAACTAACAAATTAAAACTCTGGGTTCACTAGCATCTGGCTAAAAACCCACTTGTATTTTGAAGTCTGGTGAGGGAACCTCTCACGGCCTGTATCGAGCAGGTCAGATCTGGGAGCTGCCCAACAGCAGCTGCTTTGCCTGAGGGGATACAGTGGCACAAGCCTGAGGGGGTGACCCTTCTCGGAGGGCACCACGGACGGGCCTGATGAGGCTGTGGGGCCAGCTGGGTGTCCACGCACAGGCCAGGGCTCCCAGTGCTGGTTCTTGCCACCGACCCGCTCATGGACGCGGGGCCCCCCCATGTCCTCTCCGTGGAGCCACCAACTCTGAGTACGTGTCGCATGGTCAGCAAAAAACAGGGGAGGAGGGTGAGAAGTCGGAGTTCTTGACTTCGTACACCAGAGAGTGCGCCTCCTGTTCCTGTGATCAAAGGGAAGCAAAACAGAAGAACCAAGTGCAAACCTCTTGTCGGGAAGAGTCCTTCGGGGGACAGAGGGGAGCGGGTTTCTGCCCTGGACCTGCTGCTGGCCGGCTCTGGGCCTCAACCACGTGGCATGACTTCTCAGGGTCTCAGCTCCTTCATCTGAAAAATAAAGAGTTGAAGCAGATGAGCATTTTCACGAGTGCAGGCGAGTCCTGCAGTGTCCAAGTCACAGCCTGAAAGGTCAGCACCACCTTCTATGCCAAAGTCTCCGCTGAGTGGCCTGGGGTGCGGACGAAGCCCACGCAGGGCTGCCCAGCACCTGGCACCGCTGCTCCCGGGCCTTGCCCAGGCTGTCAGGAGCTGCTCACACAGCACTAGCAACCGTTCTTCCCTTGCCCTTGGCCCAGAAGCAGATGCAGCTTGAATGAGCAGAGAGAATTGGTTTTTCAAAGAACCACAGTACCCTCGACTCTACCCAACTCCAATGGTCTCTGCTGCAGCCCCGGGCCGCCCCTCCAGCCTGCGCCTGGACCGGCCATCGTGGCTTCATGGAGACAGAAAGGGCAGCACTGCCTCCCGAAGCCAGGCTCACTGAGAGCCCTGGGGTGCCCCTGGGAGGCCCGCGCCCACACAAGGCTGTGGCTGCCCCATCCCGTGCGCCCAGGCCACTGTGCCCAGACTGGGCATGGGCTGCTGCTCACACGCAGGGCAGCGCCCCAACCCTCAACCAGTCTGCGTCCAGGGACCCAGGGACCCCCAGCACGACGTTAGTGTGGCGCGGCGGAGCAGCATCGGCCTCCCCGAGACATGGGCCGCCTGACCTGACTCAGGTGCTCAGCTGTACCTCGGGTAAGTGCCAGAAGGCCACTCACAAGCCCTGCAGAAGGCATGCAGTTGCCACGGTAACCTGGCATTACATTTCTTGGCATCAGACATGGAAATTACCACCCCGAATGCATTTAACACAGCCCGGGTTCTGATTCCCAGCCTTCCGCTTAGCTAAACAAAAGGGGGTGTGGGAGGTGGTAGCCTGCTCACCCCAGGAGGACCCCGAGCCCCCACACCTCAGAGGCTCGTAGCAGGCGGAGAGCTGAGGGAGTGAGACTCCACCACAGCCCATTGCCACGTGGCCGAGCCCCCCGCCGAGCAGATGCCACTGCCACTACCCAGGCCTGGAGACAGGCGCACCGCACACGCGCACACAGCAAGTCGGAGGGAAAGCAGATCCTCGACAGAAGACCCCCGCTGACTTATCAGAGGGCATCTGTCAACACCAAGCAAGACGGACTCACATGTCCAAACCATCCTTACGGAGAAATGGAAGTTGTGTATCTTGGGTTCCGAAGAGGCCGGCTCAGTCACAATTCCTCACCTCATGGGGAGGCAGACGCAGCCAAAACACCCTCACCTGCGCGGCGCACCCTCACCACCGGCCGGCCTGCGCCCGCTGCAGCTGCAGCTGCCCTTCCTGTGCCAGGCTGCTGCGGGACGCCAGGGAGGGGGCTGGCCCGCACCCCCATCTTCAGACTGCAGGCCGGATCAGATTGCAGCTGCCAAGGGGAGCGGGAGGCCTCGCCTCCACTGCTGTCTCCACCAGGTGGGGACTCTGGCGTGCTGCACTGCGGTCCCCCAGGCAGCCACCGGGCTCGGAAGCCAGAGAGGAGACTCCAGCTCTGGAGGCGAGGCGGCATCCTGAATCACAAAGGTTTCCTGGGAAGCTGCAGGCTCGGGGGCGGGGGCCCTGCTCGCTCGCCAACGGGCTGCTGGCTGGGGTCTCTCCTAGAGCCAGCTGTGGCCAGCTGTGCACTGGGGGGCAGAAAGGCGCACAGAGGCTGGGTGACATGCCTCCCCGCACACCTGGCGCACCCACCAGCAGACCCCAGGGAGCCCCCGACCGGAGCCCCACTCGGGGTCCAGAACACGCAAATGCAGCAGCCCCGTGGCAGCCATGGCCCTCCACAACCAGCCCCCCAGTCAGGGCTATCATGTGACCTGGGCACTTAAAATATTAGCGCACTGACGGCACAGCCCACTCCCAGCAGAGACTCCGGCCAGCCTACGACGGCGAGCCCTCTGGTCTCCTTCCATTCGCCCAGCGCCGCTCGTGGGACGACCAGGCACCACCTGCCCTATGTCACTATGCCCGCCTGGGGACGACCAGGGAGAGTCAGCCCCTCCCAGGGGAGGCCGGGGCAGGGAGAGCCGCAGAGCTGCCAGGCCCCCAGGGCGGGAGCTGGGAGGAGGGCTCAGGCGGGGGGAGCCCCCTCCCCGTGCGGTTGCCAGCCCTGCACACGGGGCTCTATCTGGAGGCCCACCCCACCCTCCTAGCACCCTGAGCAGAGCCGCCATCCCCAATACGCCCGACACCAAGGTCCCGAGTGGAGGGGGCAGGTGGGGGCCACAGCACCACCAGCTGGACCCCTGACTACCTTTGGCGGGTGATGGCTGTTAGGCAGGCACTTTGGGGGGGGAGGGTGGGTGCCAGGGGCGGGGGGCCTGGTGATCTGACCTGCGAGCCCTGAGGGCCGGCCTGACTTGTCTGCATCTGACAGCTGAGGACACTGAGGTATGTGCATACCAGGCCCCTCTCCGGTCACCCTCGCCCTGCGTTCCAGGGGCCCCATGCCAGCTGGGAAGACGCTGCCTGCCGGGGGCGCTCTCTGCAGGGACAGGGGCTCAGGCCCAGGGACCTGTAAGGGAACACCACAGCCTCCCTTCTCTGTGGGAAGAAGCGGGGGGACTGTGCACAGGCGCAGCCAGCCCGGCGCAGACTCCAGCGGACTGGATGACTCCAGTGGACTGGATGCGCCCAGCGCGGGCCGGTTGATCAGAAGGGACAGAGAAAGAGGCAGCGGGGGACGTTCCTTTATTGAGACTATCCGGAGTGGTTCAAAGTCTCAGAGGAGTTCTCATCAAATGTTCTGGGCACACCTCGGAGCCAGCCTGGCACTCCCCACAAAGGATGGCCTGTGGGCTCTGCCTCCCCAATCAAGGATCAAGGCTGCTTCTCTGCGGCAGCCCCGTCCCCGGCAGCGCGGGTTAACAGGCCCGTCCCCGCAGCCCCGCAGTCCAGCCCCGAGCACTGGCAGGCAGCGAGCGGGGCTCCCGCCAAGGCCCCGCGCCTCCTGGAACAGACAGGCAGGAGGAAGCCAAGACGCCCGTCTCCGCTCTGGGTAGTGTGCCCGGGAAGGGGTCTCGCCACGGAGCCACGATCGGAGCAGGGGTGAGGAGACGCGCTCCGGGCTGTCAGACGGCCGCCCAGGTTAGCCACTGGCGCGCGGGACCAACAGCCAGTACTGGGTCTGCTTCTCCGCTCCCCAGCAGGAGGCAGAGGCCCAGACAGGACGAGTGCCTGCCCAGAGCACCTCCCGCACTGGGCAGAGTCTCTTGGCAGGGGGACGGGGGGGCCATGTCCCCCACAGCCTGTCTCCCTCTGCCTCAGCGGGGCCAAGCAGAGAGGGCGCGCCGTGCCCCTGACCTGGCCTCTGCAGGCCCACCCTGCGACACGCCTGCCCTGACTGGGCTGTTGAGGATGAGATGCAGGTTCCAGAAGCTACAACTGCCACCGGCAGGCGGGGAGTGGCTCCTGTGCTGCCTGCAGCGCTGGGCATGTTGTGAGACTCCGCCGGCGGCTGACAGGGTCCACGCACATTTGCCAGCCGACCCCGCCAGAGACGTCCCTGCAGATGTTGCCTGGACATGCAGCAAAACGCTCAGGCATATCACGGCTACTTAAGGTGCCGACTATTTCAAAACCAGGCAGGGTGGTTATCACACCCCCGCGAAACCCGCAGGAGGGAGCATGCAGCGCCAGAGGGACCCCAGACAAGTGCTCACAGTCACCCTAGAGCCACAGGGCCAAGGGGCAAAAGGTGTCCCCAGGAAGAAGTGGCGTGGACGTGGGGGGAACAAAATGCAGGCACGACTTCTCTGTCCTGGACACCGAGCAGACTTAGTCATTGCCCCAAATGGAGCAGGACGCTTGTCTGAAGGGCCCACGAGCAGCAGATGTGGCCTGGGGGAGGGGGTGTGTAATTTTAGCTGCTTCTCCAGGCGACGGGGGCCAGGTCTCGCCGTGAAACAGGAGCCGCCAGGTACCTACAGGCCGAAGGAGCTCAGCCGGCACAGGAAAGCCTCTCTGTGCAGGGGCGAGGGCGGGGCAGCGCCCGTGGTGGACACTGAGCCCACGCAGGCCCCTGCACACGACAGAGCACGATCTGGCAGCAAAAGTCACCGGGTGCTGGTCATGCTGCCCAGCAGGGTCAGGGAACAGGCAACGGGGGAAGCAGACACCGGCCCCCACGGCAGCTGCACCTCGAGGGTCCCAATAGGCCCAGGCCACGCAGCCCAGGGGCTCACTGGCACCCTGGCCCGGGCACGGCAGGGGCAGCCCACGCAGGGGATGGACCCGGGCACCTGCTGCCAGCCCCTGACCAGGGAAACGAAGACGGCCATGGGACAACAGAGGCTCCGCTCTGTCAGGCGTGCTGTTTTGGGGGTGCCCTTCCACGGAAGTTTAAATTAGCTGTCTGCGCTCAAAACAGCTCATAACTGCTTTGCAACTTTCCTCCCCAAAATCTCAGAGTCCAACAATTTCCAAGAAAAAAACTTGATCTTGATGTCAATGAAAAGTACAAATCACACACATATGCAAATGAAGAACTTTCTGACTTGAGGGGGCAGCGTCATGGGGGGGGGTGGCCACGGCTTGGCTCATGCCCGAGTGAGGGGGACCCAAAGGTCTCACCAGATGGCAGCCAACCAGCCAGAGGACACGCACTCGGGGATGGACCTGAGCCTGGGAAGGCAGCCAGGGCACCCAGAAAGGCCACCCCGGTCCCAGAGCCGTCAGGGCACAGGCCCTGCCGCGGCGTCGCACGGCCACGCGCTCCTATTTTCCGCAGGAAGAGAATCTGTCTCTGCACAATTCGCAATGAGTCAACCAGTGTGTAAAGTATTTTACATAGTGGGAAAATTCATTATGACCCAAAAGTTCATTGTGTTCTCACTAAGTTACCAGAAATTACAGATGCGAAGACACTGCTGTCAACTTAACCAAAATCAAGAAAAGAAACGACTTCAGATACACGCATGTTTTCGGCCTGGAAGCCCTGATTCTCCGTGCTGCTGCATTTCAAACCCCTTGACTGGCATCCGTA